CCCAAGATGGCCCCAAGAGGCCCCAAGAGGCCCCCAGGAGGCCCCAAAGAGGATCCCGAACGGCCCACAGAGGCCCCCCCCAGGCACCCAAGACGCAGAAAAACCCCTCGGGACGACCCTCTACTCGCCTGGGCGTCGTTTCTGGACGGGTTGGGGGGGATATTTATTTATTTTTACAGCCGCAGCCGAAGGCGCCAGCGGCGGGCGGTCACGGTCGGGCTGCGGCCGCGACTAAGGGGCGGGTGCGCGCGGGGCCGCGGTCAGGCGGCAAGCAGCAGCAAAGTGCTGGTGGGGATACGCGAAGCGTCTAGAATTCATAAATAGACGTAAACATACACATTCAAATATACATAAGCATTAACAAATGCGTATACATACACGGATACCTATACCTATTTATATCTATATATACACACACCAGACCTGAACCTATGTATACACCGACCCCTGTACATGCAAATATACGTTTACATGTACACATACATACTTATACCTACATATACCTACCCATAAAGCCATACCTAAACGGACAGATCTACAACTACAACAACGGAAACTTTTACATGTACATATAAAGTTATATATACATGTACAGATGCATGCACGTATAAGCACACAGACACGTGTACATATACATGACCATTGGCATATACAAAGACATGACGATAAATATATATATATATATATATATATCCACATGCACGTACACATTCATTTTCATGTACATATATATATAGTATGTGTATAAATATGTATACAAACGCATATACATATACGTATACGTATAACTAGACATATACCTATACGCAGACGCAGACATGCACGACATACATCCCCAAGCCGATACTTCTTTCCTCTTGGACTAAAGATATGAGAACACCGATGGATCAAGCTGGATTTGTTTTGAGGTGCGCGACAGCGTCGTGGTTCCTATTTCTGTCTTGCGGGGATCAAATTTCCCGTGTGTGAAAAACCCATGGATCCATCTATTTTCCAGGAATGAAATATTTACTAATGATTAACATCCCGGAACCAGGGGAAATGGGATCCGCGGGGCACCGCACGTGAAGCATCATGCCATCCACGGAACTGTGGATCTGCTGACCAAAACTATGATTATACGGGGGAGGGGGGGGGTCTTCCCAGGACAGAGGGGGCAAGGAGGAGGAAGAGGGCACGAGGAGGGGGGAGGAGGGGAGAAGGAACGGGACGCCGTCCCTTCCGACATTTAAGGCTCAAGAGGAGAATATTTCGGCCTGTGTAAGTCTACTCATGACGATTCAGATACACATACATACAAATACATTTGCATACATATATACACATGCATCTACATGCACATGCAGATGGAAATACACATCTGCACATACATATTCAAACCTATACACGTGTACATATACATGTACATATGCAAATACACATGCATATACATATACACACACAAAAACATACATCGGAGCTTGGGGGGTGAGATCGAAGTGGAACGGAGAGCCCCCCACCGGGAAATCGGTTTCGGTTTCGTGTTCGTGCGTGCCGTGCGTGCGGGCGAGGCGAAGCTGCGTGGGCGGGCGAGAGGAAAGTCTCCTGTGGCTGAGGCGCGGGGCTGGACCAATGATTCTCCCTCCAGCAAGCGGTGGCCCGCGGTGTCCCGCTGGTGTCCCGCCGGTGTCCCGCTTGTGGCTGGGTCCCGGCCGGACCAAATGATTCTCCCTCCGGCAAGCGGTGGCCCGCGGTGTCCCGCCGGTGTCCGTGTCCCAGTGTCCCGCTGGTGCGAAAACGATAGTGAGACCGATGACGAAATCGATTGTGAGATCGATAGTGAGATCGATAGTGAGACCGATAGTGAGATCGATCGTGAGATCGATCGTGAGATCGATAGTGAGATGAATAGTGTTATCGATTGTGAGATCGAGTGATATCGATAGGGAGGTCGATAGTGGGATCGATAGCGAGATCCAGAGTGAGATCGACAGTAAAATCGATCGAGTGAGATCGATAGTGAGATCGATCGAGTGAGATCGATAGTGGGATCGATGGTCCCAAGAGCGAGCGGCAATGCAACAATCACCACTGTTGCCCATTGCTGGCCCCCCTCCCCCCCAACCTCCTTATCACCCGCAGGGTGGTCGTACAGGTACACATATATATATATATATATATACATATATACATACATGCATCTACAGGTAGATAGTGACCAGGGCAATCTACACCTGCCCATGCCTACGTGTATGAGTACATACGTATACGCATGCACATACACGTACATCTACATGTAAATATTCAGTGACAGTGACATAGCAATAGACAGATGCAAGTACATGTGCATACATGTAGACGGATGCATAAACCTGTGTACAAAAGACTACATATGTATATGCATATACATATACGTATATGTATGCACTCAGCTGTGCAAACAGCCAAGCATATACATAGATGTATGGAAATACACATTCAAAGACCTATTCATTTCTACCGAATCCGATGTATACATGAGCATACAAATATGAAAGACAGATATACACATGCATACACATCGGAGGTGAGGAGGTGAGATCGCAGTTTAGCGGCGAGCCCCCCACCGGGAAATCGAGTTCGGTTTCGTGTTCGTGTCGTGCGTGCAGGCAATGCGGAGCTGCGCGGGCGGGCGAGAGGAATGGACCCTCCCCTGGCTAGGGACCCGCCGTGGCAAAACACCGCCCCCCACCCCCGGTTGTCTGGCGGTGGCTGGGGGTGTCCTGTGGGTGTCCTGGCGGTGTCCTGTCGGTATCTCGTCGGTGTCCGGTCGGTGTCTCGTCGGTCTCGAAGCGAGATCGATGGTAAGATCAATATTGAGAACAATAGCGAGAGGGACAGTGAGCACTGTTGTGAGATCGACAGTGAGATCGAAAGTGAGATCGACGATGAGATCGATAGTGAGATCAATAGTTAGATCCATAGTGAGATCCATAGCGAGATCGATAGTGCTATCGGTATTGAGAGAAATGGTGAGGCCGTTAGTGAGACCGATGGTGAGACCGACACTGAAATCGATAGTGCGATCGATAGTGAGATCGATAGTGAGAAGGATAGTGAGAACTGTTGAGTTCGACAGTGAGATCGCTAGTGAGATCGATAGTGAGACCGATCGTGAGATCGATAGTGAGATCGATAGTGAGATAATCAGTGATGTTGATTGAGTGAGCCGTCGGTTCCTACTTCCCCCCGAACCTCTTTTGTCACCCGAAGGGTGGTCGAATAGGTATCCTTTAAAAAAATACATGTAAATATAGTTGCATGCATACATGGAGGTGCCCATGCAAGTACTCGTATAAGCGTAGGCATGCATAGAAATAGGCATGCGCACAAACATCTAGATGTGTATATAGATGTGTGCAGATGCACACATGTAGATATGTGCGCGCCTGTACAATATGTATATACACATCCACCTATACACGTACACTTTGATTTGCACATGTACACGTGCACACATATACATGTACACGAGCGCATACGTCTACCTATACATGTACACGCGCGTGCTCAGAGGGGGCCCTCCACCTCATGACTGCTTGGCCAGATGCTCGTGCTCTCCCCCGGTCGCCGCCCGTGGCCGCCTCGCGGCAGCCCCACGCGCCGGCTGCAGCTCCAGGCCTTCGGCCCGTCGCCGCCCCGCGGCCGCCCCGTGGCCGCCCCGCGGAGCTGTCCGCGCTTCGAGCTTTCGGCCGGCCGCCGTCCGCGACCGCCCCCTCACGGGGCGGCCAGCGCACCAGGCGGCCAGCGCACCAGGCGGCCGCCGCACGCCGCCGCCCGTGGTGCGCCGGCTGCGGCCTCCGGGCGGGTCGGCCGGCCGCCGCCCGCGGCCGCCCCTCGGGGCCGCCCGCGCGCCGGTGGGATGTTTGCTGGGTCTTCGGCCCGCCGCCGCCGGCAGTCGCCTCGCGGCCGCCTGGCGCGCGGCCGCCGCCCGTGGCCGCGCGGTGCGCGGGCGGCGTTCTCGGCCAGTCGGCGCCCGTGGCCGCCTCAGGGCCGCCTTGTGCGAAGGCTGACGTTGGCACCCCCTGGAGTTGCACACCCGGAACTGCACCGCCCAGATCGTACCACGTAGCGTGCACACCACAGAGGCAGCACTCCGTACAATGCACAGTGCAACTTGAGCCACAGAGATTGCACCCCCTGGCAGGCACCCTATGCGCTGCACCCCCACAGCTTGCGTCACATACTTTGCGCCGCATCGGTTGGCCCTCATAGTTAGCACCCCATGGATTGCAACCCGTGAGCTGCACGACAATGGGTGCACCACAGAAAATTGGCCCACGTTGATTGCACCACATAGCTTGCACCACATGTACTGAAGCATACGTGTATAAATACAAACACCAACGATGTAAATATATATGGACATAGCACATACATACATGCAAACGCACTGCATCCCCATGACTGCACAACATAAACTGCATTCCATGTATTGTGCCACGTCGAGTGCATCGCATACGTTGAATCATGTCTGCAGCACATGCGTTGCACCCCACGCGGGCTGCACCACAAATGCAAGAACCTAGTGACTGGGGGTCCACGGAGGCCCCAAAACTGGTGGGCCCCTAGAGTCGTCCTGACGCAGTACCGCAGCAAGAAATATAAACTGATAACCTTCTGGGTGCAACACCTCTAGAAGATTGTGTAACCCTGGTCAACACACAAGCAGGCATGTATCCCGCACGGGTAAATGAAGAAGATGAGGATGAATATGATGACAACGATGAATGGGGATACAGCGGAAGAGGGGAACACGTGACGAGGAATATGGAAAGAGCGTCAACCTCCTCCTCCACTTCCTCCGTATCCGCCTCCTGCTCTTCCTCATGTCTCTCCTAAAAACCTACGAACCACCAGGAAAAAATGGAAAACGCCAAAAACACATCAGACAATGTAAGGAAGACCTCGCTCTCACTGGTAGGCTCCTCGTCCCCTCCCACCCCTGCCCGCCCAACGGGAGGGGGAGGGGGAGACCCCACCTTGTAGAACTCCGACGCCGCAACGTCTGTGCCGATCTTCACCTTGTCCTTGTGGCCAGATTTCTCGAGGGCGTCCATGAGCACGTCCAGGGCCTGCTCGCGGCAGCACACTACAAAGTTTGCCGTCGCGGGCTACCATCGTCACCATCACCTTAATCATTATCGTAGTCATCTTCATATTTGCCATCAGCATGTCAACGTCACCAGCATCGTCGTACCTCCTCCCAACAATCATCCTTCTCATCACCCGAATTAGTCATCACTGTCGCCATAGCCCCCATGATGTCTCCACATAGCCATCCCCATTCCATCATCTTCAACACCCAGTGCCACTCATCATTACACCGTTCCTCCTCCACCACCCTCCCTCCTCTCGCATCCTACCTCCTCGCTTGCTCCCCTCACCCGGTACTCCCTCCTCCTCCCCCTCTTTGCCGGCGCGAGGCTCTCTCCCGCGGGCGCTCGGTGGTCGGGAGCCAGCTGAGATTCCTCCAGCGCCCCTCAGGCACGGCGGCTCCCCGGAGGGCGGCCCGCTGTCCGAGACAGCGGCCACGACCAGGGGGGGAGGGATCTGCCGGCCAGGGCCCTCAGACTCCGCCATACGTAGAAGAACAAGCGGCATGAACATAAACTTTTGGCGCCCTCCTCCTCCTCCTCCGCCTCCTCCTCCTCTTTCACGTAAGTCCGACCTAAGCAGAAGCTGTGGCGTTGCTCCTCCTCCACCTGCTCCTCCTCCTCCTCCTCGTCCTCCTCCTCCTCGACTTGCTTGCGCCAAAAGTTTACGTCCATGGCGCTTTTCCTCCTTCGAGCAGCCTGGCTTGGTCCAGCGCCGCGCGGGCGCGGGACGGGCGCCGGGCGGTGTTGGCGGGACGCCCAGGATGCCCAGCGCTCGTCGCCTCGGCGGGGAAGGGTCTCGTGCCCGCTATTGCGCGAGGGGGGGGCGCCGCAACGCGGCGGCCTGCTGTGGCGCACCACCCCAGACAGCAGGGCTGAACCTAAACGTTGTTTTTCGTTTTGTTCTCGTTTTGTGGTTCGTTTAGCTCTACCCGCTTTCCTGTATCTCCATGCCGAAACGAAAAACAAAACACAGCCGAAGTCCAGCAAAACAGCGTTCAGGTCGAGCCCTGCCGGCCAGCGCGCGGCCTCGGCCCTCGTCCCCGCTTCCTCCCTCCTGCCTCGCCCCCCCAGTCCCCTCCCATTGTCAGCGTTTTCTCCTTCGGCGTTTCGACACTGAACGGAAGGGGGGGGAGGAGGGGGGCGGCCTCGGCCCTCGTCCCCGCTTCCTCCCTCCTGCCTCGCCCCCCCAGTCCCCTCCCATTGTCAGCGCTTTCTCCTTCGGCGTTTCGACATTGAACGGAAGAACCTCGTCGATGTTGACGTGATTCTCCTTGAACATTCGACATTGAACGGAAGAACCTCGTCGGCGTTTCGACATTGAACGGAAGAACCTCGTCGTCGACCTGTTGAACGGAAGAACCTCGTCGATGAACCTCCCCTCCCATTCAGCGTTTTCTCCTTCGACGTTGATTCGGCGTTTCGACATTGCGGGGGAGGAGGGGGTCTGGCTCGGGACCTCTGCTCGGTGCGACTGGTTTGGCACCAGCGCGTCCCATGGGGGAGACCCCGCCTGCCCAAAACAGGCGACAGAAACAGCCAAGATCTACTCCATGGGAGGAGGGGGGTGCGAGGGCCTGCGCCGATCGGCAAAACAATGAATTAGAAAACGATCACATTGCCCTCTCGCTCTCTCTCGCAATGAAACGAAAACGAAATGAAGACGATCACGATCACAATGAAACGAAAACGATTAGAAACGAGCCCTTCGCTCTCTCTCGTGGCGCTGGGGGGGGAGCCCAGGGCCGGAGCTTGGCGGTGGCGCACTGCTCGGGCCCCTCTTCCCGGTCGGCGAAGAAGGGCGGAGTGCTAAGCAGGCTGGCAACCAGAGCAAGGACCTCACCAGCAGCATCCTCATCATCGTCATGATGGGAATCATCAGAGGCAACATCGTCGATATCATCGCCGTCAATATCGTCGCCATCATCATCGTCATCATCGGACCCGCTCGCCCAATAAGCCCACTCGATCGCCCTTCGCTGCTCAGGCCGCCTCGTTGTTGTCCTGCACCGAGGGCGCGAAGCCGCCCTCGTCGCCCACGTTGCACGCGTCCTGCAGCAAAGCTGTCCCGTGGCGAAAGGACAGAAAGTTCCCACCCCCCTCCCTTCTCATGCTTATCCTGCTTGTCCTGCCCCCTCTCTCCCTCACTCCCTCTCTCTTTCTCGCTCTCTCGCTCTCTCGCTTTATCTCTCTCTCTTTCTCTCCCTTTCTCTCCCATTATTTCTTCATATGTATCTAAATAGTGGTATGTCTATATCAATATCTGCCTCTCTCTCTCTCATTATCTCTCTCTCTCTCTCCCTCCCTCTGCCTCCCACGGCTGGCTAAACAAGTCGTCGAATTAAGCTAACAAAGCCTGCAACTCGACACCATACAACAACATCACGTTGCCCGATGCTGCAACGACAACCTGGCGAGAGAGCTTTCGGGAAGCTTTGCTGCTGTCCCCTGCCAGGGAATTCGAAATTCAACGAGCTGGCAGCCCAACAAACTACTCCTCAAAGAAGGTCGGGGCGAGAAGGGCTGGAGGGAGAAGAAAAATACGTCCAGGGAGGGGGGGAGACTCAGGACTCAAGGAGGAGGAGGAGGAGGAGGAGGAGGAGGAGGAGGGCAACGTGTGGACGACCTTTCTGCCTTCAGGACTCAGGACTCAGGACTCAAGGAGGAGGAGGAGGAGGAGGAGGAGGAGGGGGAGGAGGAGAAGACACGAGCAGAAGGCGGGGAGAGGGGCGAGCCTGGCCGTACTTCTTCTTGATGCAGCTCTTCAGCGTGTGATAGACCTGCGGCCGCCGCTGCCGCCAACGGCCACCGCCGCCGCAGGGCGGGCGCTGCTCCATTGACTCATCCGCCTCCCACCCTCCCTATCCTACCTCCCGTTCCGCTCCTCCCTCCTCCCTCTCTCGTCCCTCATCCCTCGATCCGTCCCTCCCTCCATCCCTCCCTATCTCCCTTTGCGCTCCGCCCTCCTCCCTCTCTCTCTCTCTCTCTCTCTCTTCCATGCTCCATCCATCCCCCCTCCTTCCTCCCTCCCTCCCTCCAACTCTTCTCCATCACTCCTCTATCCTGCCGCCTACCTCCTACCTCATGCCTGCTCCGCCGTCCTCTCTTCCCCCCTCCTCCACCTCGCTCCTCCTCCCTCCTGCGTCGTCCGCGCTTCCACATCTTCACTCGCTCCTCCGCCCTCCGCCCTGCCTCCTCGTTCCTCCGTCGTCCCGCCCCCATGCTCGGCAGCAGCAGGAACGATGTGGAGCCCAGGGTGCAGGCAGGCGCTTTCCCCCCCCCCGGCTCTTCCCCTCCGCCCGTGCGGCGTGCTCGTGGACGCGGTCCAGCGCGGGAGCGCGCCCGTGGGCGCCGATGGCCTCCACTGAAGGGGAACTGGGACGCACAAACAAATACACACAAATAAAAACATCCCCCATATTTTCCTATAATTTCGGGTTTTTTGTCCTTCCCCCATTTCCCACATTTCCCCACATTTTCTGGGAATCGACGATGAATTGTGTCTGCGTGTTTTTTCCCCTCCTGATCCGCGCGCGTGCCCGACTGGCGCGCAGAGGGCAGCCCCGAGGAGCAGAAGGCCGAGACCGGCGCAGAGCTCAGAGGCGCACGATGCCCGCGCCCCAGCAGCGGCCAGGCGACCCGGCCCGCCACGGGCCCGCCCGCGCGCACGCGCGAACGCGGGGGAGCTGCGCCTCCAGCGGCGAGCCCAGGTCCCCCGACCACGGGGGTCCTGCGCCTCCGGCCTCGGACGAGCCGGCAACAGCGGCGTGCGCATGGCCCCCCACTGACTACCTACCAGACCACCCCAACCCAACCCGAAGACCCGAATTTGACCCGAATTTCGGGTTGGGGGGGGTACGGGTTCCATGTGTTTTTTCAACGTTCCCCGACACCCCCCCACTGGAAATGGAGGGCAAATTGAGGCCTTCGGGTTGGGTTGGGGTGGTTTGGTAGGTGGTGACCGACCGTGAGGCCGATCACGGACGCGAGGACGCGGAGGGCACCAGCACGGCGCCAAGAGCACGGCGCGGGCGCGACCGGCCCCCGGGCCCGAGCGGACGAGCGGGGCCTGGGCGCGGCCGAGGCCAGAGCGCGCCAAGACGTGCTCGTGGGCACGCGCGGGCGGGCTGGGCGCGGCCACTGAGCATCGGCGGCGACGACAGGGGCGAGTAGCCCAGGGGCGGGCATCACACGTATTCGCCTGGGAGCCTCCTCGAAGACATAGATCATCGGCGCACCTGACTACATGTACTGCTCTCCCCTGGGCTACTCGCCCCTGTCGTCGCCTCCGAGAGCATCGTTTCACCGATCCCCATCCCCACCAGCGTGGGCTGGGCCTCGCTGGCCGATCTCTTCCCCTGGATGGGGATGCAGGCCGCTCCCTTCGGGTTTCGAGGGGCGCATCCCCAGCTGAGGTGGTGACACGGTGGGGCTCGAGACGCGGCTTCAGAACATCCTCCTCATCCTTCCTCCCTCTTCCCTCCTCCTCCTCCTCCTCCTCCTCCTCCTCCTCCTCCTCCTCCTCCTCCTCCTCCTCCTCTCTCCTCCTCCTCTCCTCCTCCTCCTCCTCCTCCTCCTCCTCCTCCTCCTCCCCCTCATCCCCTCCTCCCCCCCTCCCAGTCCCCCTCCTCCTCCTTTCGTCAAGACGACAAGCCTGAGCCACGGGCCGCCGGCCGGGCGCCCCGAGGCCGCGGGCGGCCCCAGGGCCGCCCGAGGGCGCGGACGCGGGCACCGCAGGGACCGCGAGCCCACGGCTGGCGAGAGCGCGCCGGCCGCGGGCGGCGCCTGCCCGGGGCGCGGGCGGCCCCGGCCTCGGCGCGGAGGCCCGGCGCGGGCGCGGGGGGCCCGCCCGTGGACGCGGGCGCCCCTGGGGAGGGCCCCTGCGACGGGAGGCGCCAGGGGGCCACATGCGAACCCTACCCCTACCCCCACGATTTCTGAGGGGGAGGGGGGGGTTCACTCCGTTCGGGAGCTCCCGAGCGAAGTGGACCCCACCCTCCCCCTCAGAAATCGTGGGGGGTAGGGGTAGGGTTCGCATGTGGCCCCCTAGGCGCGGCGGCGAGTGCGCCCGGAAGCTCCTCCGAGTCGAGCTTGCCCGCCTTGCCCGAGGTCGGGCACGTCCTCCTGCAGGCGGAAGCTTGGAAGAGAAACGGACAACGCAGCCAAAGAGTGCTCGAGGAGCGTCAACGAGAGGTCGAAGACTTGTCCCCCGAGCAACTTCGCCTATCCTGGAATACTCCGCCTGCAGAGGAACCTGCCGGGCTGAGGCCTCGTTCGCATCGACCGCCGCAAGAGAGGGCGGCGGCCGCGAAGGGAGGGCGGAGGGCCCGTCCAAGGCCGTGGGCCGCGGCCGGCAGGTCCGCGCGGACCTGGGGCGCCGGAGGAGACTGCTGGCGCCAGGGCCTGCGCAGCCCTTCGGCTCGACGAGCCTGCAGCAGAGAACGACGGCGAGAGGCCAAAGGTTAGGTCGGGCGTGTCCCCCTACAGGCATTTGGACGAAAAAATCAAAGATTCTATATCTATATATATATATATATATATGTGTGTGTGTGTGCGTTTACACAAACACACACACACACACACACACACACACACACACATACACAACCACGAAAAAACTATATGTTAAAAAATGCTCAACAAATCGTCCCCAGACTATTTGTTTACTATTTTCGAATGCTCTTCCTGTAGAGGGACGTGCCCGACTCAAGCCAAAGGCGCCGTCGACTGCTGCGACGAACTCGCTCGAGCCGAGGTCCAGAGCCTTCCCCACCGCACCGCCGAGGGGGCAGCCGTCCGGTGGGCTCGGATCGGGGATGCCGAGGCGAGAGCGGCCCCGTCCCTCGGTGGCAACCCGTGGGAGCCAGCCATACCATCTTGTCGGATCTTGCGAATCGGCGCTAATCGACGCTGAATCGACGCTAATCGGCGCTAAATCGGCGCTCTCATCGACTACCAGACGCTAATCGACGCTAGTCGACGCTAACGACAGAATTAAGAGGGTGCACCAGGCTCCCATGATTTGCTACCGAAAAACTGTGCTCTTTCCACCGCCTCGGCGTCCGCGCATGCTTCCGAGGGGGAGCAAAAATCGCTGGGCGCAAGCAGGGCAGCACGGCGGCGGAGGTGTGTGCAGGGGTCACGGCACATGCTACCGTCGGAGCATCGCGGTCGACGTGTGCATCACGGAACCAAGAGGATGCCCTGGTCGCGGGCGGGGTGCGAGTCATCGAGTCATCCCATAGATTCCTCACTGTCCCGCCTCCCACATCCTCGATCGCTTATTCTCCCTCGCTCCTCACAGTCACAATCCTCAGCATATAAATCACCATGGCAACCATCATCGCCGTCACCATGATTAGCCTCCTAGAAACCTCATCCTCCTCCTACTCCACATCAAACTCTCCTCATCAACATTATTATTATTATCATCATCATCATCATCATCATCATCATCACCATCAGCATCATCAGCATCATCAGCATCATCAGCATCATAATCATATTCTTATTATTCCTCTTATTATTCTTATTATTATTCTTAATATTATTATTTTTCTTCTTAGTAATCTTCTTCATCATCATCCTCATCATCATCATCATCATAATCAGCATCATCATCATCATCATCATCATCATCATCATCATCATCATCATCGTCATCATCATCAGCAGCATCATCATCCTCCTCCTCCTACTCCTGCTCATCATCATCATCACCTTAGACAACATCATCATCATGATCATCATCATCAGCATCATCATATCGTCATCGTCATAATCATAATCAGAATCAGCATCATCATCAGCATCAGCATCATCATCATCTCCATCAGCATCATCATGGTCGTCATCATGAACAATATAATCATCAGCAGCAGCATCAGCTTCATCATCAGCATCATCATCGTCATCGATGTTGTGGTCGTCGTCGGCATCCGCATCATCATCATCAGCATCATCAGAATCATCAACATCATCATCATCATTATCATCATCCTCCCATCGTCACCATCGCCATCATCATCATCATCGTCATCATCAACAGCAGCATCGTCATCATCATAAGCAACATCATCGTTACCATCATCATCATCATCATCATCATCATCATCATCATCATCATCATCATCATCATCGGTAGCATCGTCAACATCATTATCATCAGCAGCACCATCATCATCCTCATCACCATCATCATCGTCATCATCATCATCATCATCAGTATCATCATCATCATCATCATCGTCGTCATCATCATCATCATCACCAGCATCATCATCATCATCAGCAGCAGCAGCATCGTCGTCATCGCGAAAGTCATCGTCATCGGCTTCATCGTCAGCATCGTCATCACCAATGTCAAGCATAAGTAACATCAGCAGCAGCATCATCAACATCAACAACTTCAGCATCAACATCATGATTAACATCATCATCATCATCAAAGCATCAGTGTCATCATCATCATCATCGTCGCCATCATCAACAACATCAACGTCGTCGGCGGCGGCGGACGTTGTCAGCATCCGCATCATCATCATCCTCTTCATCATCATCATCATCATCATCAGTATCACCATCATCATCATCATCATCATCATCATCATCATCATCATCATCATCATCATCATCATCATCGTATTCATCATCATCATCATCAGAAGCAGCAGCATTCATCAACCTCATCCTCAACCTCATCATCGTCATCTTAGTCGTGGAGGTCGTGAGTCGTCATGATTAGCAGCGTCCTCATCAGCATCATCAGCATCAGCATCATCAGTATCATCATCATCATCATCAACATCATCACCAGCATCATCCTCATTATCATCATAAACATCATCATCATCATCATCATCATCATCACCATCACCATCATCATCAGCATCATCATCATCGTCGACGTCATCATCATCATCATCACCACCTCTATCATCATAATCAGCTGCAGCATCATCATTATCATCATCATCCGCACCAAAGCACTCCTCATCTCACTCCTCCCTCCTCGGTTCTAGTGCTCCTCATCCATCACCCAACTCCTTAATCCCTCCGCCTGCCTTCCTTCTCGGGGGGACCTCCGCACCGATGATCAGGGCCTCCTTGAAGGAGCTCGCGCCGATCGGGAGGATCATGAACTCCTGCGCGCGCGGGTTCCCCCCGATTCTCCTCCTGCTCCCACTCCCCCCCCCTCCTGGGCAATTTAGGAATACTACTCTCCCCTCTCCCCTGATGCCGTTTGGAAGATGTCCGGCCCCCCTCCGCGTATGGTTTTCTAACACACAGGATTCCCGGGAGTTGGGTTTTCGCTTGGGCTTTCTTTCAAAATTCTGCTACCGCTGAAGCGCTGGCCCCATTTCTGCGCCTCTGGTTGTTCCAAGTCGTGTTCCCGCTGCAGCGCGGGCGTTTTCGGTCCTTCTAAATCGGCCCCAAAATCTAGAAAATGGCCTCCGAAAATACCATCGGAAGTGATTACACATTCGGTGTCGATTCGTTTATTTTTTAAGGCCGCAGAACCCCCCCACACCACCACCCCACTTTGGGGCGTCGTTTTTCAAGAAGTATCAAGCGGGAGCCCCGCTTCTGCTTTGAGAGGGCGATGTTGAAAGCAGAACCAGCGGGTGCTCTCTATCAGCCCCGCCTTGTGTGTAGCTTTTCGGGAAGCCCAAAGAGCGAGACATGGAGCCACGACTCCAGACCGGCCCAGACCTCTCGAAGACGCATCAATTACCCTCCAACAAAAACCCAACGCCATGCCATGACATGCTGTGCTGTATTGTGTTCTGCGCCGCTGTGCGATGCCACGTTTTGCGTTGCAATGCTTTGTGATGCAAAACTTCACTGCGCAATGCCACGCCATGCTATGGCATGCTACGATCTGCCGTGCTCTTCTACGCCATGCCATGCCGTGCTCTACCATGCATCGCGTACCCTCTGGCAATCATTGCCCTGTTCGAGGAAGAAGAAGAAGATGAAGAAGAAGAAGAAGGGGATGAAGAAGACAAATGATAGTAATAACGGTCGTAATAATTACTCACTGCGTGGCGCTCCCCATATGTGCATCTCATGTTTTATGTCATGCCATAGTGAGCGTCTCTTCATGAGCGCTTGACTATACTAGCGCGTCCACATGGGCGACACGGCCGACGAAGACGAGTGAATCCTAATGCGAGTGAGTGAATATGAGTCAGAGTGAGCTTTGAGTATGATTGAATATGAGCCTCCCATTCACTCGCCCTCCTCAGCTGCCAGGCCGTGCCCTCCTCAGCCTGTGGTAATGTGCATATGTTTTAGGATAGTTGGCAGTGGGATCTGGAAAACGAGCGTTTAGCCAAGGGAGCAGCACGCCTCATCTCCTTCCTCGCAGCATGAAAACGAGCAAAGCGCCTGAGACATCCCCACAAACTGGCCGCGAACGGGACCGTGTCCTACCCCTCTGGCGGCTCTCCTTAGGGATGCTGAAACCAGCGCCCCGCCTGAGACATCCTCAAAATCTGCTCTGAAAGCCAAGGATGTTGGGCATGAAAACGAGCAAATCGCCTGAGACATCCCCACAAACTGGCCGCGAACGGGCCCGTGAAAATACCCCTGGCGGCTCCTTTGAAGGGTGCTGAAACCAGCGCCCCGCCTGAGACATCCTCAAAATCTGCTCTGAAAGCCAAGGATGTTGGGCATGAAAACGAGCAAACCGCCTGAGACATCCCTACAAACTGGCCGCGAACGGGCCCGTGAACACACCCCTGGCGGCTCCCCTAGGGGTGCTGAAACCAACGCCCCGCCTGAGACATCCTCAAAATCTGCTCTGAAAGCCAAGGATGTTGGGCATGAGACATCCCCACAAACTGGCCGCGAACGGGCCCGTGAAAACACCCCTGGCGGCTCCCCTTAGGGATGCTGAAACCAGCGCCCCACCTGAGACATCCTCAAAATCTGCTCTGAAAGCCAAGGATATTGGACATGAAAACGAGCAAACCGCCTGAGACATCCCCACAAACTGGCCGCAAACGGGCCCGTGTCCTACCCCTCTGGCGGCTCTCCTTAGGGATGCTGAAACCAGCGCCCCGCCTGAGACATCCTCAAAATCTGCCGTGTGTTGGGCAACTCAGACTATGAGAAGGTCTGAGTATGTGTGGGTCTGAGTATGAGTAAGTCTGTGTATGAGTACGTCTGGGTATGAGTAAGTCTGAAAGTCTGAGTATGAGTCTCTGCATGAGTAAGTCTGTGTATTAGTAAGTCTGGGTATGAGTAAGTCTGTGTATAAGTACGTCTGGGTATGAATAAGTCTGAGTATGAGTAAGTTTGTGCATGAGTAAGTCTGTGTTCTGGGGGTGTTCTTGTTCTCTGGAGTCGGCGGCGTCCAAGAAATAACAAGAACCCCATCTTAGGATATGGGGAATAAGAAGAAGTGCGGATCCTCGCGTGTCGCACGCCAGGGGCGGCGTAGGCAGCAGAAGCAGACGACGAGGGCAGGGAGGAAGAGTGAGGGAGGAGGAAGGGAGGGAGGAAGGGATGGAGGAGGGAGTAAGGGAAGGGAGGGGGGACGGGGGGACAGGAAGGGAGGGAGGAGGAAGACGAGCGAGGAGAAGGGAGGAGAGGAGGAGGAGGAGGAGGATTACGAGACGGAGGAGGAGGACGAGGGAGAAGGGAGGAGGGAGAAGGGAGGAGGGAGGGAGGCAGAAGGAAGGCCGGAAGAGGGGGAGGGAGGAGGAGGAGGAGGAGGAGAGCAGGAGGAGGAGGAGACGGACGAAGGATGGAGGAGAAGTGAGGGAGAGAAGAGGAGAGGAGGAGGAGGAGGAGGAGGAGGAGGAGGAGGAGGAAGGGGGCCGCGTCCCTCCCATCCACCCCCGTCAACGCCTGGCAGGCCAGGCGGTTCCCAGCGTGGCTGCCGCCATTGATCACATTGAACGACGGCACCGGCAT